TTCCAGGGTCAGCCGGTGACCTTCAGTGAGGAAGCTTTCTTGGCTCAGAAGCCGGGGTCCCCGCTGCAGACCTTCCACAAGAGGGCGGTGCACCTGCAGCTGTTCAAGCAGGTGAGCGCTGGACCGGGGAGGGGGCGGCTGGAGCGGGGCCTGGAGGCGGGGCCTAGGGGGAGGGGCAAGGATGGGCAGCTTCTCCCTGAGGGCGGGGCTTAGGGGGAAAGGGCGGACTGCTGATCCATGGGGGACGGGGCCTAGGGGGCCGGTGAGGACAGGCAAGCGGTCCCTGGAGGCGGGGCCTAAGGTGAGGATAAGGATGGGCTGCGGGTCCCCGAAGGCGAGGCCTAGGGAGAGATCCAGGATGGGCTTCTGGTCCCTGAGAGACCCCGGCCTAAGGTGAGGAATAAGGATGGGTGGCGGGAAGAGGCGGGGCCTAGGGGACAGGGCGAGAATGGACTCGGGCACAGATCTTGGCTTCAGGGGTCAAGTTGCATGCCTAGCTTCTGGGTTTCCCGATGCCTGGGACCTTGGAAGGAACCTGGCAGGGCTGGCTGCCTCCTACATCTTCAGGGGACCACAGGCGCTTTCTGGTGCTTGCCCCTGAATCTCTCTCCCTACCCCAAGTTCATCGAAACCCGGCTGGAGAAACTCAATGCTGGGGAAGGCTTCTCAGACCAATTCGAGCAAGAGATCGCTGCCTGCTGCGGGGCCTCCTCAGGTGAGCCCCGGGGCTCCCACCCCATCAGTTCCCCAAGCTTAGGCCTGCCTTAGTAATCACAACCTTCTCCCTTTCTCCAGGCGCCCTTCGATCCTACCAGCTCTGGGTAGATGGTCTAAAGGTAATCAAAGCGATCCCTGCTCCTGCCCACAACTCCATGACCCCATCGCTCCCCACAGGCCCCAGAAAGGGGCTTGGTTAAGCTCCCGGGTGGAGGCAAGGGGGCCGGGGGTGGGGCCTGCCCAGCAGAAGCCAACCTGAGGCGGGAGTGGACTGTGGGGTCCAGACCTGGTGACCCGGGGGCCCGAGTTCCTCTCTCCCCTTTGGTGTTTTCTCTCCCACCCACCCCCCACAGAAAGGTGGCGATGCCCTCCTGCATACAATGAAAGCCAAAACCCGACCAGCTGTCAGGAACATGTACCGATCGGTGAGGCTGGGCTGGCTTATGTTGGCTGGGGTGGCCTCGGGGAAGGGACGGATGGAGTCTCTGTGTTGTATGTGTATGTGTGCACATGTGTGCCTGTGCATGTGGAAGCCAGAGGTTGGCATTCTTATGTACTATCTACTTTGGGGTTTGTTTTTGAGAGAGAGTCTCACTAAGTGGCCCTGACTGGCTTTGAACTTACAGCGATTCACCGCCTCTGCCTCCTGAATACTGGAATTTGGTGTGCCCCACCACACCCAGTAACTTGGGTTTTTTTGGGGGGGTTACATTTATTTATTTGGGGTATTTGCTTGTGCCACGGTGCATGTGTGGAGATCAGAAGTTGGTTGTGTTAGCCCAGCTGGAGTGGCGCACGCCTTTAATCGCAGCACTGAGGTGGCAGAGGCAGGCGGACCTCTGTGGGTTCGAGGCCAGCCTGGTCTACCAAGTGAGTTCCAGGACAGCCACGGCTACACCTGTCATCCAAGCACTAGGGTGGTAGAGATGGGAGGGTTCAAAGGTTACTTAGGGAGTTTAAGACAAGCCAGGGTTACATGAGAAAGACAAAGAAGAAAGCTGGGCATGGCAGTGCATGCCTTTAGCCCTAGGACTTGGGGGGGGCAGAAGCAGGTAGATCTCTGAAAGTTGGAGGCTAGCCTGGTCTACATAGCAAGCTCCAGGGCAGCCAGGACTATATATAGTAAGAATCTGTCTCAAAAACAGGCAGGTGATGGTGGCGCACGTCTTTAATCCCAGCATCTGGGAGACAGAGGCAGGCGGATCTCTGAGTGAGTTCCAGGACAGTCAGGGCTACACAGAGAAACCCTGTCTCAAAATAAATAAATAGAAATGTTCTTATAATAAAATTTAGGAGGGCTGACGAGATGACTCAGAGCTTAAGAGCGCCGACTGCTCTTCCTCTTCCAGAGGGTCCTGAGTTCAATTCCTAGCAACCACAGGGTGGCTCACAACCATCTGTAATGAGATCTGATGCCCTCTTCTGGCATGCAAGCATACATAGAGGCAGGATGTTGTATTCATAATAAATAAATAAATCTTTAAAAAAATTTAGGGCTGGCAAGATGACTCCTGCTATCAAATTTGACAACCTCCATTTGATCCCTAGAATCCATACAACAGGAGAGAGCTGACACCCAAGTTTACTCTGCCCTCCATTCTTGTGCCATGACTCATGTTCCCTCTCTCCCAAATAACATACATGAATAGAAGTAGACACACACGCTGGGCGTTGGTGGCACACGCCTTTAATCCCAGAACTTGGGAGGCAGAGGCAGGAGGATCTCTGTGAGTTCAAGGCCAGCCTGGTCTACAGAGCGAGTTCCAGGACAGCCTCCAAAACAATACAGAGAAACCCTGTCTCGAAAAAAAAAAAAAAAAAGTAGACACACCACACACACACTGACAGTCAAGGTCATTTGACTACCTTTGTTACTTAGCTTCCATCTTTTTTAGTGGGGGCATGTCTGGAGCTCAAAATTTCCCTCAGATCCTTCATTTGATTTTAACCCTGACACACGAGGCCAAACCTTTGGTTTATGACAGGTGACTCCCTCCAGAAATATTGTGCATTAGTCAAAGGCACAGACATAGCTTGGAAGATACAGAGAGGGGTGGGTGGCAGAAAACAGCCATCCCGGGAACCCAGGTGTGTCCCTGTGCCGGGTCTAACAGTGCTGGCTTGTCATCCTAGGCGAAGAGTGGCTTGAAGGGTGTGCAGAGTCTGCTTATGGTTAAGGTAAGATGACCCAGGCTGAGTTCCCCACCCGTGGGCAATTCAGAGGAGTGGGAATGGTTCCCCAGCCCACACGTGCATCCTGCCACAGGACGGAGACTCCGGCCTGCAGAGAGGGGGCTCCCTGAGAACCCCAAGCCTCGCCAGCCGCTCAGATCGCCTGCAACAGCGCCTGCCTATCAGCCAACACTTTGGGCAGGTGAGGATAGCTGCCTCCTACCACCACCCTCACACACACAGAGGGAGCACGCCCCCCTCCCCACCCTACCCCAGACCAGCATGCGTGCAGGCATGTACACAACACACACGTTAACACACATACACAATGGATTCTCCCCAGGCCCCCCACTCATTCCCAGTGTTCGGCAAACTATTTCCCTTTGTTGAGGCCCCAATGTAGCTCAGGCTATCCTCAAACTCACTCCACAGCCAAGTATGACTTTGAACTCCTGGTCCGTCACACTGTCTAAAGGGTGCTGGAGATCAAATCCAGGACCCTGTGCATGACAGGCAAGCCCTCTAAAAATCCGAGTTCCATTGTCTCAGCTCCGGTGGTTTGGGGGATTTGGGTGTTTTTGTTTGCTTTTAGACCAAACTCATCTCAAACTCAGAGATTCACCCCAGCCTTTGTTTTGCTTTTAGAGGAGTTCCACTATGTAGCCAGCCAGGGCTCAAACTTGCAATGATCCTCCTGCCTCAGGCTGCAGAGCGCTAAGAGGACAGACCCGCAGCAACATGCCTAGCTCTGTCTTTCCAATTCAAGCTGGAAGCCCCAGCCCCGATTCCGCAGCTCCTGGGCCTCTCCCCATTCTCCCTACCTTATCTTTTTCAGAACAGGCCCCTCCGCCCTAGCAGGAGACTCAGGCGGGAAGGGGGACCTTCTGAACCCCCTGGGGAGAGGTAAGAATTGAAGCAGCTCAAAGACGGAGGAGCAAGGGTCATGATTGGTGAGGAGGGATGCCGCCATAGCCTGGAGCAGCCCAAGCCCAGGATGTCCATCCTCAATCCAGGAGCCCTGCCTTGAGCCCCGAGGACACCCAGAGTCCCTGGGCAGAGGAAACTCTAGATGGCAGCTTTCTGGGGTCTGGAGAAGAACTGGATCTGTTGAGCGAGATCCTGGACAGTCTGAGCATGGAAACCAAGAGTGGCGGTCGGCTGAGGGCCAGCCAGAGCTTGGACTGCTGTCAGCAGGGGGCGTCCGAGAGCTGCTTCAGCCTGGTAGGACCCCCTCCCCACTGCGCCCTCCCAACCCCAACCTGTCAGTCCCTTCCCCACCTGACCTCAACCACACCCTTGTTCCCCCACCCCACCCCGCTCTGCTCAGCCTGACATCCCAGCGAGGTCACCATGGCAACTAGAAGAGGATGAACAATCCCTGGACTTGCAGCCCTGGTCCCTGCCCGGGAACCTGCCTTCTCTGCAGGACGCCCCATCTTTAGAGGCTGCATGCTACTCCAAGGGCTCTTCTCAGCCGCTCTCAGACATCTCTTCGCCGGCATCTCCAGCCACTTCGGCAGACCCCAGCAGTCAAGGGGACCCCGAGCCCTCTGCTCCCCCCCGAGCTGGACCCTAGGACCCCAGAAAGCCCTCGCTCCAGGCTCCTCACGGTGCCCACTCAGGCCGGCCCCCCCAGACAGCCCCCAACCTCTTGCCCCCACAGAGCTCAACTCTGACACTGTTGGGACATTACAATCCATTCGGTCTCCCTCACGCCCCAATTCTCCAGAGAGCCGCAGAAACCAGCCTTCCCAGGTCCCGCGGAATCAGACGCGGGTCCAGCCCAAGGAGCCGGGAGTAAGCACCTGGTACAGGGCCCCAGCCAGACAGCCTCGCGTTGCTGATCTCAAAAAGTGTTTTGAAAACTAAGAGCAGGGGTGTGAAGGGGACCCCAGCTCTCAATAAAGCTGATTATTTTTTTCCCTTGGTACATTTCTCTGGGGCCTTGTGTCAGCTCAGACACCTACCTACTTCACCCACCACCAGAAGCGACATCTAACCATCTTTAATGTTCATCTGAAGGCCCTTCCCCCACCCGTTTCCGCTCTGCTAGGATCCCCAAAACTCCTACAATTCAAAACAAATTCATCTAAGCTGATGTTCCCACAATCTAAGAAAAAAAACACTTTATTATTATACCTTACTATCAATTTCATATAAATATATAAAAAGTGAGCAGCCCCCATCTTCCCTTGCCCTGAAAGCCAAGGTCTTTGAAGAACTTTCTTCCCTTCTATCCTTAAGCATTGGGCGAGTCTGATCGCCCAGAGAGGGCGCTTCCTTTTCCCAGGGTAGGAAGATGGATGACAGGGAAATGGGGGAGGAGCTAGATGGGCAGGCAGCCCCGCACTGGCTCCTTCGAGTCCTGGGGGGCCCGGGCCTCAGCTGCTGCGTGGGAAAACTGAAAGAAAGGACAGGAGGTTTGTTGGGCCTGTAGTTACGGTAGGAGACACGCAGAGGCAAGGTCTTAGGAGGTATACGGTAAGAAGGCGAGGTCCCCGGCCCTGGCACCCCCAGCTTCATGCAGAGCCAAGCAGAGGCAGCATGCCGCATAGCCCACCAGCCGGGTGCCCCCGAGGTCACCATCCCAAGTCCTCCTCAGCCATCAGAGGCTGGCGCGACTCCGAGGTGGCTGCTGTGGGCCGGGGTATGCCAAGGCAGTCCTGGGTGGCGGTGGTGGCCGCGGCCTATGGCTGACACCCCAGCGTTCAGATGAGCCGCTCCTCCGGGGGCAGCTTGAGGTTGGGGGGTGGTGGAGCTCGGGCACCCACCTGCTCCTCACTGCTGGGCCGGTAGGTGCCCTCTGTCTGGCGCTTTTCTCGAAGTTTCCGAATCAGCAGGAACAGCAGCACTGCTAGGATGATGACCCCCAGGATGGAGAAGACCACACTGATGGCTACAACGGCCTCTGAAGACTGCGGAGAGCAGGAGAGGGACAGGCGTGACCAGCTGCACGCGAGCCCCGCTCTCACCCCGGCTAGGTCACCTGGCAGGGTCCAGTCGGCTTTCCAGGCCATCCCCATACCTAGAAACTCCTCCCCAGGACCTCTCACACGGGGACCTCTGTCCTCGCCCTCTTCACACCTGCCCACTCTGGGCGACATATGAGTGTTTGGGGCTCTGTCCAGATACCATTCTCTCCTCCGCCTTCTTCTTCCTGTCTTTGGTGTTCTCTGTTTGTTTGTTCAGAGTCTCAGGTAGCCCAGGCTGGCCTTGAATTTACTATATAGCTAAGAATAACTGAGTTTCCGGTCTCCTCCTCCACAATGCCAGCACTGGGACAACAGGCTTGTGTCACCACACCCAGCCCTTTTATGGTCTCTGGATATGATCTCATCTATACCCCAGGCTGGCCTTGAATTGTGGCAATCCTCCTGCCTCAGCCTCCTAAGTGTTGGGGTGACAAGTGTGTATCACCAGGTCCACCAGGCAAGAAACGGTATTTATTTTAAAGACAGGAACTCACTGTAGCCATGCCTAGCCTGGAATTCACTATGTAAATCAGGCTGGCCTTGAACTCAGAGCTCCTCCTGCCCCTCCAGAGTGTGTGGGCCACCACACCCAGCAAGACGAAATAGCAATATTCTTGTCCACCCTGGGACTCCTTTTGTTTGTTTGTTTTGAAGACAGAGTTTCTCTGTGTAACAGCTCTGGAATTTGCTCTGTAGACCAGGCTGGCCTTGAACTCAGAAAGATACACCTGCCTCTGCCTCCTCAGCACTGAGATTAAAGGTGTGCACCACCACCACCCAGCACTCTGAGACTCTAAACGGTCCCATTGGTGTGGCTTTGTGGGCAGAGTGCTTGCCTGGCATGGTTAAGATCCTGGGTTTGACCCCCAGCACCCCATAGACCCAGCACGAGGGTGTGCATGTCAACTCAGCAATGAGGTGAAGGCAGGACAAGGAATTCAAGATCGTCCGCCTACAGAGGAAGTTGGAGGCCAGTTTGAGCTAAACGAGACCCCATTTAAAAAGAGAGCGGTGAGGGCAGGGAAATCCAGGGCTGGGACTGGGTGTAAGCTGGTTGCAGCAATGCCCAGAGTGTGTAAGCCTTAATAATAATAATGTCTGTCTATGTTGCCAGTCAGTGTTACAGTCGCTCACACACCTGCTCCTTCTGTTTGCACCCTCCCAACTCACCAGGCCCCCACTGGAACCAGAGTCTGGGGGTAGAGTCACGTTACTTGGGAAAGAGTCCAATGCTGTGGAATAGAAAGAGAAAAACTCCATGCCAGGCTGTTCACTAGGCATAGACAGACAGACAGACACACACACACACACACACACACACACACACACCCCACTCAGTCAGGCCTAGTATAACTCCTTCCAAGTTTCCAGTTGGAATAGAGACTGCAGGTACGGCAGCCAAGCCACCCACTCCACCCTCAGGTGTGGTATTGGTTCCTCTGGCCACCGTCAGTCCAGTGGGGAATAATCTGGCCAAGGTCACCACTGACAGCCAGACCATTAGAATGGAGGGCTTCCAGAACAGTGCCCCACCACCACCACTCTGGCCCAGGGCTCTTAAGGACCTGGGCGGGACTCAACCTTTCCCTGGAGTGTGTGACTCACAAGCCCCCCCCACCCCCAGGCTCCCGAAACTGGAACCCGAGAGACACTGGGAAGGTCTGGCTAGGTCCACACCTACGAGGCCAGCCCTGTCAGCTGGGCTTTCAGGCCTCCCCCAGGTCCCCTGGCTGCTTAAGACTCTCAGCTATGCACACTCAGGTGCCCTGGCTCCCCTCCCCTCCTCCACCTCCCGGCTCTGCCCAACAACCCCCAGCTCCCAAATTCCACAAGACTTAAGGACTCAGGAATCCTGGGCTGCGGGTGCGGGGTCTGCTTGATGGTAGAGCACTTGCCTAGCGTGCAGGAGAACGTGGGTTCGAGCCCCAGCAACGCAAAAAAAAGAAAAGGAAAGTTCGGAGGTGGGCTAGACTAACTTGTAGTTCAGCCCTGACGCTTTTGGAACCGGTCCCCAAACACATTCCAAGCCCATTCCTCAGATCTTTTACCCTCTCTGGGTCGCAAACGCCCGACCCTTCTGAGCTCTACCCGGGAACCCTCCTCTGACCCCAGTGCTGCCGGGGACGGTACCTACTTGTTTGGCTCCAGCCGGCTGGCAGCATCGGTAGACCAAATGCCAAGAGCAGCCGCCGCAGGCCTGGGGTCGCCATGAGCTTGGGCGACGATTGGTGGCGCCAAGGGCAGGACTTCTCCGGGGCTTCAATTTCTACCGCATCTTGGGGCCGAAGACGGCACCTGCGACCCTGCGACCAGGGACCTGGGGACCAGACCAAAGGAAAGGCCGCAGCTTGGGGTTGGGGGTGACCCAGCTGGTCTCAGGCCCCAGCGACAGGCGACCAAGCTTGGAGTGCGCTCCCCGCCCTCGGCGCCAAGGGTCAGAGATTAAAGATTAACTCTCGGGCGGCGTTCCTGGGCCAGGGAAAGGGAAGCAGGAGGTAGGGACAAGGCAGGCTATGCGCCCTGCCTCCCTACCTGGCCAGGCGTCTAAGAGGGACTTCGCGCAGGTTCCCAATCCCAGGTCCCGGGCTGGAACCCCGAGTCGCTGTCCTTCACCCCGTCGCTCCGGATCCCACCCGCCCCGCCCGCTCACGTGACCCGGAAAGTTTAGTCACCCACCTAGGCAGGGAGCGCACTTCCGGCTTGTGCACCTGAGCCTGGCTGAGAGGGGCGGGGCCGAGGGGCGGGGCCGAGCCGCCAGAGCACCTGTAACGGGAACCCCATTGCGACAGGGAGCAACGCGAAAGGCGGAAGCCAGCAGGTGTAAGGACCACACACTGGGGTTCCTCGGTAGCATTGGTGTGCAGACGCGGGGAAGGGGGGTGGCGACACGCCAGAAAGATACACACCTGTAAGGGGCGGGCTCTGTGCGTAACACTGGAAATTTCACATCTGAAGTCAGGCCTGGGGATGCTAACCTGCATCCTAGGTATTCCGGAGGCTGAGGCAGTAGGATCCCAAGTTCAAGGCCAGCCTGAGCAACTCTGTGAGACCCTATTTCAAAATAAAAAGGTAAGAGAGGGCTGGGCCGTGGCTCAGGGCCAGAACACATGCCTGGAACCACCTAACGAAGGTCAGAGGACGTGCCTCCGGGGTGGAGTCCCTACCTAAAAAAGCCACAGTGACGTGACAGGATCGCACCTGACTCAGTCATGAATTCCTCCCTAGCATGCATGAGACCCTGGGTTCCACCACAATCAATCAGTCAACCGACCTGTATGGGACCAGTTCTATAGAAAGATACACATGCGGGCCTGTATGTATATTGTGTGTATAATGTATAAACGCCTGCTTCGAGGCCCGCCTGTGCGGTAAAAAGACACCCGGACAGAGAGCACCTGTGCAGAATTTCGCTCTTGAAGGCCTTACATCCACACAGAAAGACCTCTGCAGAGGGGGCCCCACAAACTGGCTTATTGTGTGTGAGGTCCACCTGTCAGGGAAGTGTCCGAGAAAGTACCTATGTCCCCAAGACACGCGCGAAGAAGCACCTGTGCATGGAAACATCTGGTAGCTGTAGAGGTGAGGTTGTGTGGGTGTGGGGCTCTCAGCTGCTCACCACACACGTATGGGCACAGCCTGGGCGGGGACCCCATAACCCCTGTTGTGTTTTTGGGTAAAAGGTAGTCATGAACCGGATACGATTACATGCCAGCAATTTGGAATCTGCAGCAGGAGAACTGCTGCGCGCTCGAGGCCAAACTAGACCCTGGCTAAAACAACCTCAGCCAGCGGTCATAGGGCTGAAGCTGGCGTCCACTGGCTAGGGTGCTCCTCTCGGGCGGGCGGACAAAGCCCTGCGACAGCCACTGAGAAGGCTCCGTTCCAGATCAGCCTGGTCTACATAGTGACTTCCAGGGCTGCATAGCGAGACCGTGTCTGGAAAACAAAAACAAAAGCAAAAGCAAAAGCCCCTAAGAATAAGTAAAAGAGGCTTGCTCTGGCCCTAAGTGGGAATCCCGGCTGGGAATTTTAGCCTCTCGCTTCCTCCTCTGTAGCGTGGGAAGAACTAGTGCCACCTACCCACCGCACAGGGTTTGGGCAGGAGCGGCGCTGAACAGAGAGTGGCTGGCATGCGCAGCGCACTCAGCGTGAGCATTCATTAAGCGCGGTTTAGCGGGCGCCCTTCCCCCTGACGGTGAGACGAGAAATTGCACCCGAAACTTGTGGGAGGGACTTCAGCAGGTGCAACCACTCTCCCCAGCTGAGGCCCCGCCTCCAGAGCCCGGCCACCTCCTGATCTTTATCCTCAGTGGCGTCGGAGACTCCGGCCCCGGACTCCCTTCCCAGGCAGATCGGCCAAGAGCAGCCTTCTGAGCCTGGATGTGGGCTAGGCCCCTTTAAGATCGCCTGGCAGGCAGCGGGCGGCAGGGTTGGAGGCCGCGGCGGGTCAACCGGGAAGCCCCGCCTACGCGGAGCAGCCGGGCGCAGCGCAGGCGTCTCTGGCCAATAGGGATTTGACTTTGCAGCGGCGCCGCGCGTTGACCTTGCGTTTCTCTTTTTGAGTGTCACCGAGAAAAGGAGGCGCGCGGGCGGGATGAAGTGTTGGGAAGGGAGCTCTCCCCCCCCCCCCACCCCGCCCCCAGTTGATCTTCTGTTTCTGTTATTGATAGGGGAATCTGACAAGAACGGGCGGGCAAAAGAAGCGCTTAAGCTGGTTCCGAGTTCTTGCGTAGACCTGGGAGAAGCAAAGACTTGAATTCCTGATGAGGGTCCGTAGGAGAGGGAGGGCGAAAGGAGCGAGATTACAAAATCCAATCCCTGACAATTCCCTGCCAAAACCATTTAAGGAAAAGGGGTAAACTGAGGCAAGCAGAGTACCGAGACGACTGCTTTTCCTACAGTCCCAGGAATGCGGGCACTGTCAGATATGCAATACCCGAGCCTCCTAGAATCCTTCCCACGCCCCCTGCTCCGCCCCCGGCCCCCTCCCCCCCAGTAATGCGGGTCGGAGGAGGAGACGCAAGTTCTGGCGCGGGCGGGGACGACTAGCATTTATCACTTCCAGCAAGTGCCGTTGCTTGGCCCCGCAGCGCGGAGGCTGCGGTGCGTGTGGTCGCGGGAGCTGGCCCTGCGGGGACCCCGGGGGGGGAGGGGGAGCGGTAAAGCCCCCGCCGAGGCCGTCGCTGCGGGGCCTCCCCTCCCCCCCGGGCGAGCGCCATGCGGGGGGGCTCCGGCGACGCGGAGCGGCGGCAGCGCTGGGGTCGCCTGTTCGAGGAGCTGGACAGCAACAAGGACGGCCGCGTGGACGTGCACGAGTTGCGCCAGGGGCTGGCCAGGCTGGGAGGGGGCGACCCCGACCGTGCACAGCAGGTACCACGGGCAGCGACCACCGCTGCAGGGCCCGCCCGCGCCGTAACCCAGGCCCCTGAATGCGGCGGCTGCAGCAGCCCCACGCTACCTGTTGGCTGGCTGGACCCACCACCTCTGTCTCCTCCCTTCCCCCTGCCTACACGCATCTGGCCTAACGGCGTCGGGAGACAAAACTGCCAAGGCCCCAGGCCTGCAGCGCCTGTGACTGCCAGGATCCAGTGACAGCCCCCACCCCCCCGGGCTGTGGGGTGCCTGCTGCTGGTGGAGAATGGACCGGGAGGCTTCCCCGTCCGCTGCCCGGAGACACACCCTCAACTGCTCTCGGCACGATCCGAGGAGTGACCCGCTCCCACCTTCAGTGAATACAACTTCCCCCACCTTGCTGGGGCACCCACTGAGCGCCCAGCCAGCTACCCCAGTCTCTTATTTACTGTCCCTGCCGGCGCTTTCCCGGACCTGGCTGGTGGCCCCAGGTTGTTCCAGCCAGAGTTTCGGTCCCTCTGCCTCCACTGGGGTCCGACCTATCTAGGAAGGAACTTGAGTGCAGCTCAGTGGTAAAGCGCTTTCCTAGCGTGTGCAAAGGTCCTGGGTTCCAGCCTAGGTATGGGAGGTGGCGGAGAGGCAGGAACTGGCCCTTCCCCCGTGTGTCACAGGTGCCCCTCACACCTAAGCCCCTGGATGTCCTGAAACAGACCTGTTGCATGCATTCTTGTTGACCTTGATTCTAAGGGCTCACTTTTCCAGTGGGAATACAGAGAGGCTCAGCTATTGGCTTTGATCTGTTGGGCCCTGTGTGAACCAGGCCTGTTTCTAACACCCCACCCCCACACCAAGACTGCCAAGGAGACGGGTGTTATAAGAAAAAGCTCTGTGGGCACATCTGGGAGAATCAGAGTTCAAGGTCATTCTCCAGTACAGAGAGAATGAGGCTAGCCTGGGCTATGTGAGGGAGACCCTGTCTGGAAACAAAAGTGTGCCCAAGGTTGCCACCTCACAGTTCTATGACCTTGAACCACTTCTGTGACTTGGGAGCGTCTCAGTCTGCCTGTCCGGAAAACTGGGCAGCAACCAACCGCTTACTGTGGCTTGGGGTATCTTGCTGAAAAGTGGGCTGATTGAGGGGCAGGGGTGATGGCCCCTGTCTCTCTTCCTTGAGGTCCCGGGGCTTTGGGTTCCTGAGGCATGAGGCATATTGTAACACAGGCGCCCACGGGCACACACACACACTGTGGGGTGCAGTCTGCTAAGTTCCTGTGCCCCCCCTTTTCTCTTCCAGGACATCTCCTCTGAGAGGGACCCTGATCCAGATGGTGGCCTCAGCCTGGAGGAATTCACCCGCTACCTGCAGGAGCGAGAGCAGCGCCTCCTGCTCATGTTTCACAGTCTGGACCGGAACCAGGATGGTGAGACGGGCCCCAGACCGGGGGATGGGCAGTTGGGTTAGAACCGGCAGCGCTGGGGAGAAGGGGAGGGCTGCTTCTGACTCATGGGCTATTTCGGGAGTTCTCAGCCCCAACTAGGTGATCTGAGCCCAAACCGGCCCATCCTACCTCCTGTTCCCTGTCTCTGCCCTCAGATGTTTCTTTTTGGACAGTATCCTAGCTCCAGGGACTCTTGGATCCAGGGACAGCCCCTTGACCAAGTGTCACCCAGGATCCTTAAGGTTGGAGAGATGGCTCAGGGGTAAAGTGCTTGCCACAAAGCCTGAGTTCAAGCCTTAGCGCCTGTACGGGGGAGGGGAGCTGAAAAATAAGTAAATAAGCACACGTTGCTTTCATCTCTTCCAGCATAGGGACCTCTGCAATCACCCCTGAACTCATTCACTACTGATAATGGAAGACTCCCAACACTGCCCAGTTCCAACCCTGAGCAGCCCACACAACCTGTGTAAAAGCCTTTCCCCCATGGCTGAGGGGCTGATTCAGTCAATAAAGGGCCTACTGTGCAAACACAGGGACTTTGGTTCGATCCCCAGCACCCGAGTTAAGCTGGGTGGGGTGATGCCCACCTGTGACCCCAGCACTGGTGAGGTAGAGACAGGAGGATCTTGGGGCTCACTGTCAAGTTGGCCTAGCTGAGTCAGTGAACTCCAGATTCAGCGAGAGAGACACCTTGTCTCAAAAGGAATATGAAGAGAGACAGAGGAAGACACGACCATTGACCTCTGACCTACACACACACACACACACACACACACACACACACACACACACACACACAAGGGCTTCTGGACCCCCTGGTCCAGTCTTTGGGGCACCCCTTTCCAGGTCACATCGATGTCTCCGAGATTCAGCAGAGCTTCCGAGCGCTGGGCATCTCCATCTCGCTGGAGCAGGCAGAGAAAATCCTACACAGGTGAGTTACTGGGGTTTCAGGTTCTTGGAGACCCATACCCACCCCCATTTCCGCCCCTCCCCTGCTGGACAGTTCTGTCCTCTGAACCCCAGACCTGGTTGCAGGGCAGAGATGAGAAGTTGGACTTTGGAGTCAAACAGGTCTTAGGCCACTGGACTCAAATCCCTGTCTGGTCCTGAAAAGGGCTGGTAGGTACTACGGCTACCCACACAGGGTTGGCCTGAAGGATTTACACAGGCCAGACAATGCGACTAGATCATACGTGGGACCTGAACCTGTCTAGCGCTTAAGAGGCCAAAGCAGGAGGATTGCCATGAGTTTGAGCCAACTTAGACTTCAGAATGAGACTTCCCTTAAAGATAACTCCCAGCCGGGCGTTGGTGGCGCACGCCTTTAATCCCAGCACTCGGGAGGCAGAGGCAGGCGGATCTCTGTGAGTTCGAGGCCAGGCTGGACCGACAGCCTCCAAAACAGAGAAACCCTGTCTCGTAAAACCAAAAAAAAAAAAAAAAAGATAACTCCCAAAAGTCATGCATGTGAAGCTGGCAAGATGACTCAGTAGGCAAGGGAGCTTGGCCCTCAGGCTTGATAAGAACAGTTGGACCCCCAATACTCACTGGGGGAAGGAGAGAATCAGCCCAGCAAGACACACACACACACCATGTACGCATGCACACACATAATAAATGTGTTTTTAAAAGTTACACAAGGGGCCAGACGGTGGTGGCACATGCCTTTAATCCCAGCACTCAGGAGGCAGAGGCAGGCGGATCTCTGAGTTCGAGACCAAGCCTGGTCTACCGAGCGAGTTCCAGGACAGACTCCAAAACAATATAGAGAAACCCTGTCTCGAAAAACCAAAAATAATAATAATAATAATAAATTTTTAGGTCAGACACAAAAGTATAACCCTACCATCCATCACGAAGGAGACTGAGGCAGGAGGATTGCTATGAGATCCAAGCCAGCCTAGTCTTGTGGAAAAGCCCGACTCAATGAAACAGGCTGGGCAGATGGATGGCTCAGTAGAAACCCCGTCTCAATCCCCCACCCCAAAAAAGCTTTGAAACTCATAGCCAGGCGGTGGTGGCGCACGCCTTTAATCCCAGCACTCGGGAGGCAGAGGCAGGCGGATCTCTGTGAGTTCGAGGCCGGGCTGGACCGACAGCCTCCAAAACAATACAGAGAAACCCTGTCTCGTAAAACCAAAATAAATAAATAAATAAATAAATTCTTTAGCCAGGTGGCACATGGCTGTCATAGCAGCACTCAAAAAGCTAAGGCAGGGGGATTTCCATGAGTTTGAGGCCAGCCTGCTAAGACCCTGTCTAAAAAAAAAAATGTAAGCATGGAGTATTGTCCTAGCCTCAGGTACTCAGGCAGGAGGATTGCTGTAAAGTCCAAGCCAGCCTGGTCTATAGAGTGAGACCCCATTTCAAACAAGTAAACCAATACTGCAGAGAGGCAATGCGCTCAGGCCTCCCCAGATCCATGAAGATTAGCAGCACCCACACTCGGCAGCCCAGACACCGAGCCTGTGCCCACCCCATTTCCAGCATGGACCGCGATGGCACCATGACCATTGACTGGCAGGAATGGCGAGACCACTTTCTGCTGCACTCTCTGGAGAATGTGGAGGATGTCCTGTATTTCTGGAAGCATTCTACGGTAAGTTAGGGGCCACCTACAGAGGTGGAGGCTGGCTCCAGCTTCCCTGGGACTCCTAAGGAGTGGCCCAGGACTCTAGAAGTGTCGTCAGCATCTGGGGGCTCATGACCCTAATCTGGAGCCTGATGACCATAATGGACACCTCTGTTATCTGCTCAGAGCCCTTTGGTCTTGCTCAGACTCCAGGGGCAGTTGGTAGGAATTGGGACTTGGGGGAAGAAAAATACACCCAGTGGTGTTCCCACGCCCGATCCCCACGACTGCCAGTTGCCGATGCTCGTCGCCAGCTCCGAGGCGCACACTGCAGCTGAGGGAAAGACGTAGTGGCAGACACTGTATTAGGAGGTCCAGAGGAGGCCACTGGGGGGGGGGGAGGAATCCTCTTGCACCAAGATGGGGATCACTAAGGATCTGCTGGTGTCGGATGCATCTGAGGGATCTAACAGGATCCTCATCGCATTGGCTTGTCCCTGGGAGATGTAGACAAGCATCTATTCACCCCAGACAGGGTGACCACAGACCAAAGGAAGAATGCAACCAAGGTCTGACTTGGTAGACCCAGGGGTTCTTAGCTTCATTGCAGAGCACAGTAAAGGGTCACACCCAGGACCTGGGTGACTCCCGAACAGCTGCACCACGGCTGAGTCCCATCCCATCGTGGATGGCGACTCTGTGGACACTGCATCATGGAGTCTTTCAATTAGCCTTCTGCTTCCTATATAGTTAGTGTTTCCCAGGATTCCTTGCAGCTGGGGTGGGACAGTGAGTGGACTTCCTGGGAGGTCCTGTGACGGCGCCCTCCATACTAGGGGGTGCAATAGTTCCATTGCCAGAGACCCAGTTATCACCAGATTGTTCTGCTCGGTTCGTTGCCATGGAGATCCAGGGATGTCCACCCCCAAAGATCCACAGTTGGGAAGTCTATGGCTGGACTCTAGGAGGGGGAGCACTCCTCCGGGAGGACTCCTCGGAAAGGACTTCTAGGGGAAATTTTTTGGTAAAGACTCTTGGGGGAGGCATCCTGGGGGGAAGACTCTTGGAGGAGGACTTCTAGGGGGAGGACTCCCAGGGGAAGGAGGGGCTTATGGGAACACTTCTAGGAGAGGCCTCCCCAGGGAGGAGATGACTGTGAGAGCAGATCCTTTGACAGGATCCAGTGGGTCTTTTGGTGGAATCAGTGGATCCTATGGTAGGATCTGGTAGATTCATCAGTAGGATTCAGTAGATTCTTTGGTGGAACTCACTGGATCTTTTGGTAAGAATCAGTAGCTCTTTTGGTGAGATCAGGGGATCCCCTGGTAAATTTCAGGGGCCCTTTTCTTTTTCTTGTCTTGTTTTGTTTTGTTTTGTTTTTCAAGACAGAGTTTCTCTGTGTACCCATGGCTGTCCTGGAATTCACTCTGTAGACCAGGCTGGCCTTGAACTCACAGATATCTGCCTGCCTCTGCCTCCCAAGTGCTGGGGTTAAAGCCGTGTGCCACCACTGCCTGGCTAGTGACCCCTTTCCTGAGAGTCAATGGATTCTTTTTTTTTTTTTTTTTTTTTTTGGTTTTTCGAGACAGGGTTTCTCTGTATTGTCTTGGAAGCTGTCCTGGAACTCGCTTTGTAGACCAGGCTGGCCTCGAATTCACAGAGATCCACCCGTCTCTGCCTCCCAAGTGCTTGAACTCAAGTCTTCAGACTTGGCCACAAATACCTTGATCTAATAAGCCCTTTCATAGGCCCCTGGGTGGACTCCTTTGTGGGGTTCGTTCAGTGGACTGAATTATTATTTGGGGTACTTAATGGATCCTTTAATGCAGTGGTTCCCCACTCGTGGGCCACATCCCTTTGGGATCAATCAACCCTTTCACAGGGTAGCTTAAGGCCTATGTCGCAATTCATAGCAGTAACAGAATTACAGTTAGAAAGTAGCAGCGAAAAGAACTTTATAGTTGGGGGGTCAAAAAGCTTGCAGTGTTAAGAAGGTTGAGAACCACGGCTTTAGTGAAGCTCTGTAGATCTCCCAGAGGAATTCTAGGGTGTCACAGAGGAATCACTGGTGGGATGTTTTAATGGCGCATGGCGGGATCCAAAAGTGGGCTCTCCAAGCAAGGTCCTTTGGTGGACTCGGGGGTGTCCTGGATTTCATAGAGTAGCCTTCCCCACTAAGGACCCAGGTACATCCCCCCACCTTCACTGGGACATGACACCTGCAGCCCCCATCCTCAGGTCCTGGACATTGGCGAATGCCTGACGGTGCCGGATGAGTTCTCCAGGCAGGAGAAACTTACAGGCATGTGGTGGAAGCAGCTGGTGGCTGGCGCAGTGGCAGGGGCTGTGTCGCGGACAGGCACAGCTCCTCTGGACCGCCTCAAGGTCTTCATGCAGGTAAGAGGACCTGAAGGGACTCAGCACATTATCCAGGTGCCAGACCTAGGAGGGCATCGCAAGACCAACTTCTCTCCCCACTCAGGTCCACGCCTCCAAGTCCAACCGGCTCAACATCCTAGGGGGCCTGCGGAACATGGTTCAAGAAGGGGGCGTCTTGTCCCTCTGGCGGGGCAACGGCATCAATGTGCTTAAGATCGCCCCTGAGTCGGCCATCAAGTTCATGGCTTACGAACAGGTAGGTCCAGAAGAGAGTATATTCAGCCCTGGGAAGCAGAAACTAAACACAAGGGCTCAAGGGCTTGGCTTGCGCCGCGCCCCCTACTGGCCAGTTCCGTGCCAGCTGAAGAACAGTGGTACGCATGGACAGCTGAATAATCCCCAAGGTTCCTATGCACCCCACACCACCCCATGTTCTACCCTCAGATCAAGCGGGCCATCCGGGGGCAGCAAGAAACACTGCACGTTCAGGAGCGCTTCGTGGCGGGCTCCCTGGCTGGGGCCACCGCTCAAACCATCATATACCCCATGGAGGTGAGGAGGGACCAAGGAAGACCCTGCGTGGGAGGGCGGGGCCTGCCTTACTGCTTCATCCCCACTCTGCACTGTGTGTGGAGCTAACTGTCACCCTAACTGCCTGACTTGGGGCCAGGAGCCATTTCCTGTCTAGGCTGTCTGGGTATCTCAATTTGAGATACAACTTCTAGGGACTTGGTAGTCATAGTGACCGGCCATTTATGCATAGGCCTGCTAGGTGCGAGGATGGCAGAGATGAGCCACCACACCTGGATTCTGTGGTGCTGGGGGTGGAAACCTGGGCTTTGGGCACACTAAGTGGGCAGTCTACCTACTCAGCCCCAGCTAGGTCTTCAGGACATCTGCTCAGGAGTAGCCACTTCGAGGGGACGCCACTCCTGGGGATGATGATTTTTGGAAGCAGGTTTTCAAGGGCTTGACAGAGTTCTCACCCAGGTACTGAAGACAAGGCTGACTCTGCGCAGAACCGGCCAGTACAAGGGGCTCCTGGACTGTGCAAGGCGGATCCTGGAACGCGAAGGGCCCCGCGCCTTCTACCGTGGCTACCTGCCTAACGTGCTGGGCATCATCCCCTATGCTGGAATTGACCTAGCCGTCTACGAGGTCTGTGGGTAACTACCGGCCGGCCCTCCCTCCCTCCCTCCTCATTCTGGGATCTGGCCTAGGGCACTCCTTGCTAATCTAGTAGACTAAGAAGGGCAATCGTGGACTTGGAACCCTGGAGAGTCCATCCAGGCATCGTATCTACCTTTTTCTATCTCTCAGGGATGTAAAGGCCTTGTTTCCAGTTCCACATGGTGGCCAACACTTGCCGTCCTGCGACTTAGGGGGCTGATGTAGGAGGGTCTGGGGTTCAAAGCTGGCCTGCACCAGATAGTCAGTTTCAAGACAGCCTAGTTATGTGAAAAGACCCTGTCTTATGCCAGACATGATGGTGCACACCTTTAATCCCAGCACTCATGAGGCAGAGGCAGGCAGATCTCTGTGAGTTCGAGGCCAGCCTGGTCTACAGAACATGAGTTCCAGGACAGCCTTCAAAGCCAGAGGAACCCTGTCTCAAAAACCCAAAAAGAAAAAAAAAACCTGTCTTGAAAATCAAAATTTAAGCCAGGCGGTGGTGGCGCTCGCCTGTAATCCCAGCACTCGGGAGGCAGAGGCAGGCGGATCTCTGTGAGTTCAAGACCAGCCTGGTCTACCGAGCGAGTTCCAGGACATGGTCCAAAAACCAATACAGAGAAACCCTGTCTCGAAAAACCAAAAAAAAAAAAAAGAAAGAAAAGAAAAGAAAATCAAAATTTAAACTGAGCCTGGTGGTTTACACCTTTAATCCCAGCACTTGGGAGGCAGAAGAAGGCAGATCTCTGCGAGTTCAAGGCCAGCCTTATTGACAGAGTGAGTTCCAGAACAGCCAGGGCTACACAGAGAAACCTTGTCTTGGAAAAAAAAAAAAAGAGGGGGCTGGAGTGATGGCTCAGTGGTTAAGAGTATCAGCTACTCTTCCAGAGGACCAGGGTTCAATCCCAGCACTCATATGGCAGCTCACAACCGTCTGTAACTCCAAATCATACGTGCAAACAAAACACCAATACACATACAATAGAAATAAATAAATTATTAAAAAGGAAAGAAAAGAAAAAATGAAAAGAAGAATTAAAAGAAACCAATGACAACCAAATAGGAAAACAGGGCTAAAGAGATAGCTCAGCCATTAAGAGTGCTTGCTGAGCTGGGCATTGGCGCACCTTTAATCCCAGCGCTCAAGAGGCAGAGGCAAGTGGATCTCTGTGAGTTCGAGGCCAGCCTGGTCTACAGAGTGAGTTCCAGGACAGCCATGGCAGTCACACAGAGAAACTCTGTCTTGTAAAACTTTAAAAAAGAGTGCTTGCCGCTTTGGTAGAGGACCTGAGTTCAGTTCCCAACACCAACAGGTCTAACAGTGCTCTATAAATCCAGCTGCAGGAAATTCAGGAAATCCTGGCCTCCAGAAGCACTGTACTCTCATGGTGCACACACACTCATATAGGCACACGCACTCGCACATAAAAAATTAAATACTTTCAAAATTTTAAAAAGACCACTTTTAGCCAGGCATGGGGGCTGTTACCTGCCCTCCAACACTCAGAAGGCTGATGCAGGAGGATTACCACAACAACTAGGCATGGTGGTGCACACCTTTAATCCCATGCCTTGGGAGGCAGCAGCAGGAGGATCTCTGTGAGCACGAGGCCAGCCTGGGTCACAAAGTGAGACCCTTTCTCAAAACAAGAATAATAGTAGAACCATTTCCCCCCTAGGGTGCTGCAGATGAAACCTGGGGGTTCACATTTGCCATCTTCGAGTTATGGATGGTTTAGCTTTGTAGAAATTGGGGCCCCAGCTGGGCGGTGGTGGCGCACGCCTTTAATCCCAGCACTCGGGAGGCAGAGGTAGGCGGATCTCTGTGAGTTCGAGGCCGGGCTGGACCGACAGCCTCCAAAACAATACAGAGAAACCTTGTCTCGTAAAAAACAAAAAGAAAGAAATTGGGGCCCCTCCAGCTATTAAGAGCATGAACACGGTATAAAAATAGCCTCAGATGCCCATCATCCCCAAAGTATGTGTGAGTTCTGGCCTGGCCTACAGAACAGCACATTCTCTTCCTTCCTGCCTGCCTCCTTCCTTTATTTTTCAATGATTTGTTATTTTCAAATTGTATTATGTATGGGAGTTTGCCTGCCTGCACACTGCATGTGGTACCCATGGAAGCCAGAAGGGGGCAACAGATCACCTGTAACTAGAGTTACAGATGGTTGTGAGCTGCCACATGTGTGCCGGATATTAAAACTGGATCCAAACCGGGCACTAGTGGCGCACGCCTTTAATCCCAGCACTCAGGAAGCAGAGGCAGGCGGATCTCTGTGAGTCTGAGGCCAGCCGGGTCTACAGAGTGAGTTCCAGGACAGCCTCCAAAGCTACACAGAGAAACCCTTTCTGGAAAAAACAAACGAGCAAACAAACAAAACTGAACCCTCTGCAAGGATAGCAGTGCTCTTCACCACTGAACTATCTCTCCAGCCCCGCCCCTTTTCTTTCCCTTTTTCCTAAAGACAGGCAGGATTTTACATAGCCTTGGTTGGCATCAAATTTTCTAGGTAGCCGAGGATGACCTTGAACTTCTGACCTCCTGACTCTACTCCTGAATGCAAGGATGACAGGTCTACACTACCAGGTCAAGCTAATGTGGTGCTGGGTAGAACCCGGGGCTTTGTGTGTGTTAGGCAATTTTTGTTGTTCTTATTGTTGTTTTTTTGTTTTTCGAGACACGGTTTCTCTGTGGCTTTGGAGGCTGTCTTGGAACTGGCTCTTGTGGACCAGGCTGGGCTCAGACTCACAGAGATCCGCCTGCCTCTGCCTCCCGAGTGCTGGGATTAAAGGTGTGCGCCACCACTGCCTTGCTAGGCAAATTTTCTAGGGACTGAAATGCAGCTCTCTTGGTTTTAAAGATGGGGGCTCACTATGCATCCCATGATGTCCTGAACTCTTGGCAATCCCCCAGCCTCAGCTTCCTGAGTACTAACATTACAGGCATGTACCACAATCCCTGGTAATAGAACATAGTGTGTGTGTGTGTGTGTGTGTGTGTGTGTGTGTGTGTGTGTAGTGTAGTGTGTGAAGGTCAGAAGACAACCTCTGATGTCATTTTTCTGGTACTGCTCACCATATTTTTTGACATGGGATTTCTCACTGGGATCTGGGGATCTTCCAGGAAGCTAGTGGGGTTCATCAGTGAGCCCAGATATCTCTGCCTCCCCCAACAGTATGGTTACAGGCATACACAGCCGTGCCTGGCCCTTGACATGGGTACTAGGGATCAAACTCAGACCGCCAGGCCTTCATGGCGAGAAGCTTGCCATCTGAGCCAGCTCCAGAACAGTTCTTTATTTCATGTTTCCATCTCCGTGTGTGTCCATGTGCCACAACGTGCAGGTCAGAGGGTGCCTGTAGGAGCTGGCCCCCTCTTTTCACCATGTGGGTTCCAGTGATGAAACCTAGTCATCAGCAGATTTGGTTGCAAGCCCCTTTATCCACTGAGCCATCTTTCCAGCCTGTAACGGCTCTTAATAACTCATTGAACACACATTCTCAGCTCCCACACAGTGGTTCTCAACCACCTGTAACTCAGTCCCAGGGCATCAGACATCCTCTTCTAGCCCCCACATGGGAGCCGACACCCTCACCCAGACATGAAGGCAAAACATCAATGCATATAAAAATAAAATGTAAAGAACCAAAAATGAAGCTGGGCAGTGGTGGCACACACCTTTAATCCCAGCACTCAGGAGGTAGAGTCAGGGGATTCTCCGGGGTTCTCCAAACTCAAGTCCAGTCTGGTTTATAGAGTGAGTTCTAGGACAGCCAGGACTACACAGGGAAAACCTGTCTCAAAAAAAAAAAACTGAAATGGGTGGTGGTGGTGCACACCTTTGATCCCAACACACAGAAGACAGACACAGGTGGATCTTTGTGAGTTCTAGGCCAGCCTGGTCTACAGAGAGAGTTCCTGGACAGCCAGGAATGTTACACAGAGAAACCCTGTCTCGAAAGAAAGAAAGAAGGAAGGAAGGAAGGGAGGAAAGAGAACACCAGACAGCCAAAGCTGTCCTAACCCTGGATGCACAGTCCTTCCCACTGTGGACAGTCACTGTGGTGAGGTCCCAGGCGTGCTTGGGGTGTGCACAGTGTAGGTGGCAATTGGGGAGGGTTACAGGGAAACTGGTCACAGAAGCCAGGCTGGGTAGCCCAAGCCTGCCATCCAGGCCTGAGGTGGCCAACAAGACGACAGCTTCAAAGTCAGTATGGACTAGATGAAGCCCCTGTCCCAAATGAAAAAGCTCAAGTAGTGACCATTCGAATCCCCCAGCAATGGTTAAGAGCCCTGCTGCTCTTCCCGAAGATCCCGGTTCAATTCCCAGCATCCACACGGCAGCTCACAACTGTCTGTAACTCCTGTTCCAGGGGATCCGACACCTTCATACAGACATTCGTGCAGGCAAAAATACCAGTGCACATAAAATAAAAATAAATACATCGTCTTTAAAAAGAATGCCCCAGCGAGGGATTGGGGTCGTGGTCAGGGGTGGAACCCTGCCTAGAATGTCCCAGTCTGAGCCTGGCACTGACCCAGTGGGGAAGACAAACCGTATCACCTTGTTCAGTATCAGCAACCATGGTACACACAACTGGAAACAAGGTCTTTGACACCCAGCGCCTTCCCCTCTGCACCCGGAACCCACCCGCTCCTTTCTCTCCCAGACCCTGAAGAATCACTGGCTTCAGCAGTACAGCCACGAATCGGCAAACCCGGGCATTCTTGTGCTCCTGGCCTGCGGCACCATCTCCAGCACCTGTGGCCAGATTGCCAGTTACCCCCTGGCACTGGTCCGGACCCGAATGCAGGCCCAAGGTGAGAGGCCTGGGCAGGGGCTGGGGTAGGAAGGCCTGCCACTGGGGTCCCACCTGCTGTCACCTGAATTCGTGTAGGTAGAGTCTGGGCTGGGCTCCTGTGGGCTTGGGTGGCCTCCGTAAGTCTTTCTTCTTGTCTGGGCTTCGGTTTACCCAGTAGTGATTCTGAAGAGGGACTATTTCACCTGAGAATTCAGTGGCACCAAGTTCAGGGAAGTACTGCAGACAACATTGTGGCATTTCTGGGCCTGACAGAAACCTGAGCTGTTACTCTTCAAAGCTAGGGGAAAAAGGGAGTGGGGCATGCTGGGAATAGAATTAGCCAAAGTCAAGGAGGACCGTGTCATTATCCTTCCTTCCTTCCTTCCTTTCTTCCTTCCTTTCTTGTTATTATGTAATGGGACAGGGTCTAACTGTGTATCCCTGGCTTGCCTGGAACTCACAGAAATCTGCCACTGGCCTCTCTGCCTCTTAAGGGTATGCACCCCTGCGCCCAGCCTTAAGGAGAGACTAGTTAATGTGCTTAATTTTTTTTTTCTGAGACACAGTTTCTCTGTGGCTTTGGAGGCTGCCCAGGAACTAGTTCTTGTAGACCAGGCTGGTCTCGAACTCAGAGAGATCTGCCTGCCTCTGCCTCCCGAGTGCTGGGATTAAAGGCATGCACCACCACTGCCCGGCATGTGTTTCATTTTTATTTCAAGGCGTTTTATTTTGGGGGGGGGGTTTCGAGACAGGGTTTATCTGTATTGCTTTAGAGGCTGTCCTGGAACTTGTTCTGTAGACCAGCCTGGCTTCAAACTCACAGAAATCTGCCTGCCTCTGCCTCCCGAGTGCTGGGATTAAAGGCATGTACCATCAATGCCCGGCAAGGTGTTTTATTTTTTTAAGACTTATTTTTCGCACGCCTTTAATCCCAGCATTCGGGAGGCAGAGGCAGGCGGATCTCTGTGAGTTCGAGGCCGGGCTGGACCGACAGCCTCCAAAACAATTCAGAGAAACCCTGTCTCATAAAACCAAAAAAAAATTATTTTTATTTCCGCGAATGTGTATGGGTGACTGAGACATCCACAAAGACTCATCAAACTCCCTGGAGCTAGGAGGTCACTTGCGTGGGTGCCAGAAACTGAACTCTGGTCCTCTGGAAGAGCAGGAAACTCTTTCCTGCTGAGTCCATTGTGTTTAGTTTAAAGCAGAGGATTGCTGTGTCCCAGGCTGGGCTGGAACTCAGGACAATCCTCCTGCCTCAGATTTCCCACTGTTGTTTTTCTTCTGTATTTTCTCTTATCAGTTTGGTTATTCCTGTTCTGCTTTCCCTGAATCTGTTTTTGTGAATCTTGGTATTTGTGTTCCTTGATTTTTGCTGGAGAAATCGTCCAAGGATGAGACAAATGCTGTCTGCTTGCATGAGCCTCATTCCCTGAGGAGGAGGAGGAAGGTTAATAAATCATTCCCTGAGGAGGAGGAAGGTTAATAAATCATCCCACCATCGAGGGGTGATTTAGGGTTGAGGAGAGGAGAGGTAGGAACTCAACTTAGGCTGGGGTACCACAGACAGCTCCCCCAAACAGCTGGCTTTGGGATGGAGGAGGAGGAGATGAGCAGAAATTAGCCCCAAAGAGAAGGAGAGAATGAACATTAGGGGAAGGGGCTCTTTGTCCTCATCACACGCAGACACACATAGGCACTCCTACACACCTAGCTGTATACATACACACTCCTACACACAGATGTACGTACACACATGCACACATGAAACATCCATTCACCCCCAAATGTGGTCCCTAAGATTAACAGTTCCTAGGCCCTCAAACATCCAGAGTCTTGCGGTAGGTAGGACCCACTGTTCATCTTGCCACCTAGCCCAACCCTGGGGGTGGGGCCAGAGAGGGGGAAACTCTGGTCTTACCTGGCTCCCAACCCCCCCCACAGCCTCCATCGAGGGTGGCCCACAGGTCTCCATGGTGGGTCTGCTTCGACACATCTTATCCCAGGAGGGTGTATGGGGCCTCTACCGGGGCATTGCCCCCAACTTCATGAAGGTCATTCCAGCCGTGAGCATCTCCTACGTGGTCTACGAGAACATGAAGCAGGCTCTGGGGGTCACATCCAGGTGAGGGACTAGGAACCTATCGCCACAAGATTCCTTCGTCTCCACCACGGCATCCCCCAGGCTGATGTCCTCAACCACCGGTGACTAATGGCCTGACCAGTGGATCCTAATCCCCCACCCAAGCCGCTGGATCCCAGTACCAAGTCCCAGGCCCTTGACCTTGTGTCCTGACCATTGAACCCCTGGACCCCACTCACTCTTCAGCCACTGGATCCCAGTACTGGATCCTCAACTTCACAGCCAGACCCCCAGACTCCAACTGCTGCACCTCACACATCAGCAGTCTGACACTTGAAATGCAGAACTGCCGGGCGTTGGTGGCGCACGCCTTTAATCCCAGCACTCGGGAGGCAGAGGCAGGCGGATCTCTGTGAGTTCGAGGCCAGCCTGGTCTACAGAGCGAGTTCCAGGACAGCCTCCAAAACAATACAGAGAAACCCTGTCTCGAAAAAACCAAAAAAAAAAAAAAAAAAAGAAAGAAAGAAAAAAAAAAAAAGAAAAGAAATGCAGAACTAACTATCCACACACCCTGGCCCTGAACCCTTATCCCAAAGCTCCTTGACCCTGCTCATCCACACCCCAGAGCTGGATCCTGCTTTTCCCTGCCCCACCACTGTGTGCTGAGCCTCCCTATGCAGCAAGAGATGGCCCCAGTGCTCCAAGCATGGGGGCACACACCCACGGACCCCATAGCCCAGACCTCAGATCCTGCAGGCACCAAACCCTCCTGCCACACTGGACCTGAGATTCCCAAACCTGCCTCATAGTCCGGCCACTGGATTCTAGAAGCCAAGAACTCTCAGCCACAGGGTCCTGACAGAGTAATGCCAAGATCCTGGGGCTCTGTCCCTGGATCACAGGATCCCAGATCCCTCACCCCAAACAATTCAATTACCTTGACATGGAGTTCCACACCCTTCTGCCTTGACTGCCAGGTCTACATTTTAAATACTCTCCCTCAATCTCATACCACTGGATCCCAGAGTCCCAAGTCCCATCCCACTGGATTCTGGTTCCTGGAACCACAGGTGTGTGAGCTCCAGGGTGGATCCCAGATGCCACCACTGTTAAATTCCAGATTTCTTCAACCCCTTCTATGGATATCATCCGAACTCTCCCAGATACTGCCAAGCTCCAAACTCTTTGCTCCTGTACCCCAAATTCTCATACCACTCCCTAAGTCTGGATCCCAACAGCCCAGTGGCAGCGTCTCAGATCCCACGGGCATCCCAGACACCCTGGAGCTGTTTCCCACTGCATGAAACCACACTATCAGGGATCCTTCTGGAATCTCAGACCCCAGACCAGTGGCTCCCCACCAGACAGCAAGGGGTGGGATGTCCCACACCACCCCCCATCTGAATGCTGGATCACCCCTTAGCTAGGACACACCTCCCCTACCCTATCCGGGGAGAGTCACTCCCCCAAATCACCTCCCTCCCCATCTCCCACTCTGCAATGTCTTCCACGCCCCTGCCCACCTTCCAGGCTGGTAACTTCCTGGTTTGCTCGTTCAGGGGACACAGCCAAGGGGACCTTCTGCATCCCAGCACAGCCAGCCCTGCTCAGGCCTCAGAAAGTCACAATTAAGGACCAAGACACAACACAGCATCCTTCCTGAAACCCAGCATCCAATATGCAAAATTAAACATCCCCAGACTGACTCTGGGTCTATTTTTCTACCAGACAGAACAAAGTTCCCTGGCTCCCCACCACATTCCCATACCCTCCAAACTTCAATGTTGGGTTCTGAGCTTAGGAAAATTGGGGTGCCCCTCTTGACTCCCCAGTCTTTGGGGACCCCACCAAAGGACTGTGAAAAGGGAGCGAGGGTCAGGAGGACCCTACCATGGCTTCCACCTCTCCCTCCAGCCCACGCCAAGTCCCACCTCCCTGCCTGTGTGTGTCATTTCAAGGGAAAAGAGAATAAATTTTCTAAGCTCTTTCGTTGTTGCTTTTTAATTGTTTGATTAATTGTATTTGTTTGAGGGAGGGACATACGAAGTCAGAGGAGAACTTGTGGGAAACTGCCCTCTCCTTCCACCGTGGGTCCTGCGGTCAGACTCAGTGGTCAGGCTTGGGGCAAGCGCCTTTGCAGAGCCCACTGCAGCCTTTGTGAAGTTATAGAGACGGGTGTGTGGCACAGCATTGACAAACTCCCAAGGAGGGGAGATGAGACACTCTCTCTCTCTCCTCTTTTTTTTTTAATAAATCTTTTTTTAAAGCATTTTATTTATTACATATACAGTGTTCTGACTGCATATACACCAGCATGCCAGAAGAGGGCACCAGATCTCATAACAGATGGTTGTGAGCCACCATGTGGTTGCTGGGAATTGAACTTAGGACCTCTGGAAGAACAGTCAGTGCTCTTAACCCCTGAGCCATCTCTCCAGCCCCTATCCCTCCTTCCTCTTTCCCCTACTTTCTTGCTTCCCTTCTATCGCCCCCCCACCTTTTCCTTCATTCCCCGGTCCTCTGACCCCCCACTGTCCCTTCTGCCCCTCCTCCTCTCTCCTCTTCTCCAAGAGATTGGAGCCTCAGTTTCCACTCCATTATATAAACAGCAAGCAGGCTGGAGAGATGACTCACGGTCAGGAGCTCACACGACTCCTGGGGAGGACCTCAGAGGTGCAGTCTCGACACCCACATGGCCACTCACAATCACCAGGATCCGTCGCCCCCTCCTGGCCTCTGAGGACACTGCACCACACTGCATGTGGTGCACACCTTTAGTGTCAGCACTCGGGAGGCAGAGGCAAGCAGATCTGAGTTTGAAGCCAGCCTGGTCTACAAAGCAAGTTCCAGAATAGCCAGGGCTACACAGAGAAACACTGTCTTATAAAAAAAAAAAAAGATTTGTCTGCAAATGTGGGAGCACAGAACTCGTTCACTGGGCTGCACAGCTATGTCCAGCATTCATCTCCAAAGCTCTCCACCTGCCTACACCAAAGCTGTCTCCCTTCCCCACTAACTCCATTCTGCTTTCTGCCTTGGGAGATAGAGGCAAGAGGATCGGGAGTTCAACGTCATCCTCAGCTACTTGGTGAGTCTGAGACAAGCCTGGGCTTCCTGCTGCCCTGTCTTAAAACAAAACAAATGAATAATAAATATTAGGCACCATTGAGAGGACCACACTGGCTCTTCCTGGGCTGCGGGATTAGGGTGTGGGCACCGTGGGTCAACTGCACTACCTACCCATCAGGCCCATGAGCTCACAAGCACTCTTGTGACCTCACCCTCCCTTGTCCCTAAATTCACAAGCCAGGTAATCAGCCACTCTCAGCTGGGAGCCAGATAGACGCCCCAGGGACACTGAGACCAAGACCCTAACCCTTCAGCAGCTATGGGAGTCCATCCCGAGGTAACACAGGAGCCTTGCTCGAGGGTCAGGGCCTTATTTAGAAAAGCTCCACCCCGGTCCCCCCAACCGGTCCCCACACCCACACCTACACCCGCCTGCATCCTGGAGCCCAGGGTGCACACACGTGTATGAGTGTGTGTTTGGACACGTGGGTGAAAAGCACCCTGAAGCACTTCCTTTGTAGCAGGTAAGTGTGGGAAACTGGGTGGCACACGGCTTCACGCTGGACCGGAGGGAAGCAAGGCTGTGCTGCCCATATGGCGAGGAGCTTCTTCTCCCTCCAAGCCGAGAAGAACCCACGCTGAGGTCACAGGTGAGACCATCAGTGGTTCACACCCGTTATCCCAGCACTCAGAGGCTGCAGGCAGGACATCAGAAGTTCAAAGTCATCCTGGGCTGTTTAGTGAGTTAGAGGCCAGTCTGGACCAGATGAGATCCTGTCTCAAAACAAAATAAACAAACAAACAAACAAACAAAAAAACAAACGGTGGGGTGCTGAGGAGGTAGCTCCGGGGATGAAGGGCTTGGAGCTCAGGCAAGCAGAAGGTCCCTAATGCTGGGCAGGCCTGACTGCCACCTGTAACCCCAAAAGCCCAGACCTGGAGATGGAGATGGGGGCAAGTTGCTGGCTAGGCCAGGCAAACTGGTGAGCTCTGGGTTTGCGAGAGACTTACCTCAGCGTAGAACAGTGGTGGAGGAAGACGCTGAACGTCAACCTCTGGCCTGTATACATTCATATAGATGCATCAGTGCACGCAGTCACACACACAGTCATACATGCTTCTACGCACACACTCATGCACAACACATCACACACATACTCTCATGCACACCACTACACGCGCTCACACGCACACACTCACACTCACACAAAGGTGCAAAAACAGACTGCAGCAGTTAAGGGCAGATGAGAACTCAGGCCCAGCACCCACATGGTGGCCCACGACCATCTGTAATTCCAGTTCCAGTGAGACCAGCGTCTGGCCCCTTTGTCACCTTCATTCACGTGCATGCACGCACAAACACACACAAATAAAAAATAAGTAAACCATTAAGAAAGAAAGAAATCAGTCAAGCATGGCGGTACACACCTTTAATCCCAGCGCTCAGGAGGCTGAGGCAGGTGGATCTCTGAATTCGAGGTCAGTCTGGTCTACAGAGTGAGTTTCAGGACAAGTCAAAGTTACACAGAGACCCTGTCACAAAACAAACAAAGCCAACAAATCGCCCTCTCCAAAGACATCAAGGCAGCAAAGGAAAGCAGGGGCCTCCATGGGGAGCAAGCTCCTTCCTTCAGGGCTGAGTGTGGCCAAGCAGTGAATGTTCTTGCAGGTTCTAGACACAGGAGAGCAGCTGGTGGTCCCTGTGGACGTCTTGGAAGAAGAGAACAAGGGTGCCCTGTGGAAGTTTCTGCTCTCAGGAGCCATGGCTGGGGCAGTGTCTCGCACAGGGACAGCCCCTCTGGAAAGAGCCAGGGTACACATGCAGGTCCGTCCACGGAACTGGAGCCCTTTGTGGGGACAGTGTGGGTGGAGAGGGGTGGAGATGGAGCTGGTGGAGCTCAGGATGGACTGGGAGTAGACATAGAGGTCTCAGAGAGAGCAACACAGACCAAGGTAAAAGGTTTGGAGGTCTGCAGGTTGTGGGCGATGTCTTTGAGGTGTTTGAGGGGGACGTGGAGGGGTGGAAGGAACTGAGGATGGACCCCAAGCCTTCACACATGCCAGAGAAGCTCTCGCTGCCCCAGCCCTCCTTTCTTTCTTTTTGAAAACAGATTTATCTTTATGTGTGTGTGAGTTTGAATCCATGTCTGCACCACATGCATGCAGTGCCTGGGGAGGCCAGCAGGGGGCATTGGATCCCCTAGAACTGGAGTTACAGGCGGCTGTGAGCCTCCAAGTGGGTGCTGGGAACCAAACCAGTCTCCTCTGCAAAAGCAGCAGGTGCCCTTGACCCCTGAGCCATCCCTCCAGCCTCCAGCCCAGTGCTCTAACCCTGGACCGTCCCTCCCGGTGCCTTCCTGTCATTTTTTTTTCAGACATCTCAGTAAATAGCCCACTTTGGCACTGAATTTGCTCTGTAGCCCAGAAAGGACTTGAACTACAGTGTTTCTGACCCAGGTCCCAAATAGTTGGGATCACAGACTATAGACCAGGCTCGCCAGACCTGGCCCCAATGGGTTTTTAGATAAATGTAGATCTACCTGGTGACACAGGCCTATGATCCCAGCTGTTCCGGAGGCTGAAGAGGGAGGATCTCCACTTCAAGCCTAGCTCAGACAATTTTAGTAAGAAGACAATGTGTCAAAATATAAAGTAAAAAGAGGGCTAGGCGCCGCCGTTGGTGGCACACGCCTTTAATCCCAGCATTTGGGAGGCAGAGGCAGGTGGAGCTCTGTGAGCTTGAGACCAGCCTGGTCTACAAGAGCTAGTTCCAGGACAGCCTCCAAAGCCACAGAGAAACCTTGTCTCGAAACCCCCCCCAAAAAAGAGGGCTAGGGACACAGCTCATGGATGGAGCCCCTGCCTAGAATCTCCCTAGTGAGGGGTGGGGGCGTGGTTCAGTGGCCGAGTCCCACTTAGAATTCCCTAGAGAGGCCGGCCGGGTGTTGGTGGTGCACGCCTTTAATCCCAGCACTCGGGAGGCAGAGGCAGGCGGATCTCTGTGAGTTCGAGGCCAGCCTGGTCTACAAAGTGAGTTCCAGGACAGAGAAACCCTGTCTCGAAAAACCAAAAAAAAAAAAAAAAAAAAAAGAGAAACCCTGTCTCGAAAAACCAAAAAAAAAAAAAAAAAAAAAAAAAAAAAGAATTCCCCAGCGAGGGGCTGGGACGTGGTCGGAGGTGGGGCTGGGAATACCTGGTGCGGGCTCCGGGCTGCACACCCCTCCTGTTCCCCAGGTGTACTCCTCCAAGAGTAACTTCAGGCACCTGCTGAGTGGCCTGCGGAGCCTGGTCCAGGAGGGAGGCGTCCGCTCGCTCTGGCGGGGCAATGGCATCAACGTGCTCAAGATCGCCCCCGAATATGCCATCAAGTTCTCTGTGTTTGAGCAGGTGAACCTGGGGGGACTTACCACAGATCAAGTCTCCACAGTGCAAGGCAGCCCTCCGCCCTCCAGACACACAGTGCTGGCGGTTTCTCTCTCACACGCCCTCCCCTTGCAGTGTAAGACTTTCCTCTGCGGTGCGCAGGACGACCCTCGCTTCCAGGAACGGCTGATGGCAGGTTCCCTGGCTGTGGCCATCTCCCAGACTTTAATCAACCCCATGGAGGTAAGACCGGAGGACCCGAGTGGCCAGAGCTGGTTCTGGGGCAGCCCACACTACTTTTCTCCCTTTCTCTCTTCTCCTTCCTCGCCCTCCTCGCGTTCTGGCTCCACCCTCTGTGTCTCCGTGTGTATCCCTCTTTTTTTCTTTTTTGTTTTTTTTTGTTTTTTGTTTTTTGTTTTGTTTTACAAGACAGGGTTTCCCTGTATTGTTTTGGAGGCTGTCGGTTCAGCCTGGCCTCGAACTCACAGAGATCCGCCTGCCTCTGCCTCCCGAGTGCTGGGATTAAAGGCGTGCGCCACCAACGCCCGGCCGTGTGTATCTCTCTGTCTCTGACATGTTTGTTCTGGCTTTTGAGACAGGGTTTCTAGAACTCGCCCTGTAGACCAGACTAAAGACGTGCGCCACCACTGCCTGACTTTATTTTGCTTGACACAGATTTTCAAACTGTAGCACAGGACAGTGGTGGTGCACGCCTTTAATCCCAGCACTTGGGAGGAGGATCTCTGTGAGTTGAGGGCCAGCCTGGTCTACAGAATGAGTTCCAGGACAGACAGACCTATAGAGTGAAACTGAGTGCAAAAAAAAAAAAAAAATTGGGAGAGACGTTTTTGAATTTCAGGAATTAATTAAGTTTATGTTTCTGGTTTAAGTGTATGTGTATGTATGTATATGTGCATGCCTGGTGTGTATGTTCATGTGTGTGTGTGTGTGTGTGTGTGTGTGAGAGAGAGAGAGAGAGAGAGAGAGAGAGATCTGAGAGAGAGAGAGAGAGAGAGAGAGAGAGAGAGAGAGAGAGAGAGAAAGGGTCTTGCTATGTAACCCAGGATAGCCTGACGTTTGCAGATCTCCTACTTCAGCTTCCCCGGTGCTGGGATAATGGGTGTGTTAACCACATCTGATTTTAAACTTCTTTGCTTGAGAAAGCTCAGCAGCCTCAGGTATTATGTTACAGTGAGAACAACCAGGCTCCCTCTTTCCACATAGGTGGCCTATCTAATGCTATATACACAGGACTGAACCCTGGAACCCTTGACATTATCCACCTACCAATGCCATGCTGGGGTGATGGGCATGCCTGAAAGTATTTAACCAAATGGACCTCCTCCTCCTCTCCAGGTACTCAAGACTCGACTGACCCTTCGCCTTACTGGCCAATATAAAGGACTTCTGGACTGTGCCATGCAGATCTTAGAACGGGAGGGCACCCAAGCCTTGTACCGAGGCTATCTGCCCAACATGCTGGGCATCATTCCCTATGCTTGCACCGACCTGGCTGTCTATGAGGTGTGTGTCCCCAGAGGGGAGAGCATTAGCTTCACATCAGCCCACAGCTTTCTCCCTGCCCCCTTCTCTCGAGTTTTGTGTTTTAGATATATTTAAATCAGCATTTGGGAGCTAGGAACTGAACTTGAATCTTCAGCAAGTACAACAAATGCTCTTTACTGCTGAGCCATCTTTCTAGTCCATTGTTTGGGTTTTTTCTTGTTGTTCTTTTCTTTTTCTTTTTGTTTTTTGTTTTCCAAGACAGGGTTTCTCTATGTAGCCCTAGCTTTCCTGGAACTAGCTCTGTAGACCAGGCTGGCCTCAAATTCACAGAGATCTGCCTGCCTCTGCCTCCCAAGGACTGAGATTAAAGGCGTGCACCACCAACACTCAGATTTTGGGTGTTTTGAGAGCCCTGGCCACCTGGAACTCACTCTGTAGACTACGCTGGCCTCCACCTCAGAGATCCAAAGACTGTTGTTGGTTTTGTGTGTGGGGGGGGGTTTGTTGGTTTGTTTGTTTGTTGGAAGCTGTCTTGGAACTCACTCTTGTAGACCAGGCTGGTATCAAACTCACAGAGATCCGCCTGCCTCTGCCTCCCGAGTGCTGGGATTAAAGGTGTGCGCCACCACCGCCCAGCTACTGTTGTTTTTTTTAAGACAGGGTCTCACTATGTAGCCACAGCTGACCTGAAAAACAACAATGAGTCTAGCCTCAATTTAAAGAGATTCTCTGCGGGCACTGGTGGCACACGCCTTTAATCCCAGCTCTTGGGCGGCAGAGGCAGAGGCAGGCGGATCTCTGTGAGTTCGAGGCCAGACTGGTCTACAGAGTTCCAGGACAGCCTCCAAAACAATACAGAGAAACCCTGTCTCAAAAACACCCCAAAATAGCCGGGCGTTGGTGGTGCATGCCTTTATTCCCAGCACTTGGGAGGCAGAGGCAGGTGGATCTCTGTGAGTTCGAAGCCAGCCTAGTCTACAGAGCTAAGGCTGGTCTACAGAGCTAGTTCCAGGACAGTCTCCAAAGCTACACAGAGAAACCCTGTCTCGAAAAAAACAAAAAAAAAAAACCACCCCAAAATAATAACAATAATAATTAATTAAAAAAATAAAGAGATTCTCCAGCCTCTGCCTCCCAGTGCTGGGATTAAAGGTGAGCACTATGGTGCCCATCTTGACTCTGAGTTGTTATTAATGGCACTATTACCTCCTTCTGCAGCTACTCCGGTTTTTGTGGCAGAAGTCAGGCTGGGACATGACAGACCCCAGTGGCCTGGTCAACTTGTTATCTGTAACACTGTCCTCCACCAGTGGCCAGATGGCCAGTTACCCGCTGACTTTGGTGCGCACACGGATGCAGGCACAAGGTCAGTCTGGCCCCTTCTCTACCTCCTCCTGGCTTCTGAATTTTCTTATCCTTCCCCTCTAACCCCCAGCCCCTCCATAAACCCATCTGCAACACCTTTGCTGAGTAATGAACCCATCAAAACATATGCTTACTCCCCAATCTAATCCCAGCCCTCAAATTAACAGTCGTCCCCTCACTTGGGAGGCAAGGCAGGAAGAGCAGGAATTCAAGATCATCTTTGGGGCCAGGACTTGGTGGCGCACGCCTCTAATCCCATCACTCGGGAGGCAGAGGCAGGTGGATCTCTGTGAGTCGAGGCCAGCCTGGTCTACAGAGCGAGTTCCAGGACAGCCTCCAAAACAATACAGAGAAACCCTGTCACGAAAAAGAAACAAAAAGATCATCTTTGGTGACATTGAGTTTGAGGCTAATCTCAGCCCTTGAGGGTAGGGCTACAGCTCAACCTGGTACAGTGTGTAGTGTGCCTATGCATGAAGCCAGGGCTCAGTCCCCAGCAACTCATAAACTGGGTGTGGTAATGCTGTAATTCCAGCAAGAGGTAGAATCATGAGGATCGGGAATTCAAAGCTAGCCTCAGGTGCATATGGAATTCTATGCCAGCCTGCACTGCATAAGACCATCTCAAAACACATATATGGCAATAACTCTACATATATGGAATGATCTCTACAAAATCCCCCATAATGACCATAGTGGCATCTCACAAGAGACCCACTGCTGAATCTGTCTTTGTCTATCCCCAGACACCTTGGTGGGCTCTAACCCCACTATGCTGGGAGTCTTCGGCCAGATACTGAGTCAACAGGGCTGGCCTGGGCTATACAGAGGCATGACGCCCACATTACTGAAGGTGGTGCCAGCAGGAGGTATCAGCTATCTGGTGTACGATGTCATGAAGAAAACCCTGGGTGTACAAGTCCTGAGCAGATGACATGCTCTGAACAGGAAGAGAATGGATGTCCCAGTGTCCCTGGGTCTCAGAAAGCCCACCACGGCTTAGGCTTCAGAGCCATTTTGGTTTGCAAAACCCATCCAGGACTAGGGTTGGAAGTGCTGGAATTTCCTCCTGCAGGATACAGTCTGAGTTGAGATTCCAGCTTGGTTTTTGCAGGCTCGTCCAACAGAAGGTGTGGACAAGAATAAAGATAGTTTTGGCTGTCTCTGCCTGAGATTAGCTGGTTCAGGGTGGAGAACATGAGTATGGGGGCGTATCTCAGTGGTGGGGAGCATGCCCAGCAGGGTCCTAAATTTCAGTCCCCACCCTGAGGACCTGGGGAGCAAAGGGCTTAAGTTCCTGTAGGGACCTGAGGTTTTTGGATCCAGGTTTTAGATCCCTGTAAGGATCTTGGGACTCCTAGGTCCCGGGTGGTGACTGGGATTCCTTCTGGGTCCTGGTTGGGAGCTGGGAGTTTGGACTTCTGTGAGGACCTGGGTCCAGGCTGGAAATAGGCTTGCATTACAGTAAGTTTGAGGAGTTGGTTGCCATGAAGAAATGCAGGCTCTAGGTCCTCGGGATGAGACGGAAGACTCCGGAAACCCCCGAGTACTTCACCCAATCTCGGGCCACCCACATCCCCACAAACTCAGGTCCCCAAGGCTTGGAGCAGGCCACGCGCAAAGCCCTCCCAGGGCCTGGCCGCTAGCGCGCTGACCTAGAGGTCAGGCCGTAGTTCCGGCAGCTGGGCACCACCGCCCACGTCCGCTGCCATTCACTTTGCCTCCCGCTAATCCGCTCTCGCCGTTTGGTAGCGGGTTCCACCCAAACGCAGGTGCGCGCCCATCAAAACAGAGCACTATTACTTCCGTTGCCGCTGTTTGTCCAGGGAGGTGTCAATCATCCAACGCTTGCCCCTGTCGCTCAGCCATTGGCTCAGAAGCCGAGGGACATGGACTCTGAGAAAAGCCGTCAAGTCCAAATGCAAGCACATCACCAACCCAAAGGCTTCAGTGGCTGGGCTAAATGGCTGCCAGTCTTGACAAGCCCCGCCTCCCGCGTGTAGTTATTGGCTGGCGTTCACAACTCCCTCGCCGGAGCGCCCGCCCGCTCATCCAGGAGCTCTTTCGCCGAGCCCCGCCCCCAGACCCACGTGACTGGCCAGAGCCGTCACTCTCATTCCAGGAGCCGCCCCGCGAATCTGGGACTCACGCTCCATTGGGCCTCCTGTCTTCTCGCGTGACTTCCCATTGCCCGCCCAGCTCCAGCAGCCCACGGTTTATTGAGTCCCAGGGTCGTCAGTCACTCCGCGCCTCACGCCCCCTGGGTCCTGCGAGACTCTGACTGGCCGCCCGGGCCCACGGCCCACGATTGGTCGGCGCCGAACGGCAGCCGCATTCAACTGGCTGGTCCGCGCCGTCCGTCACGCCGGCGGCGGGAGGAGGCGCCCCTCTTCCCCCCTCGTCGTCTTCCCAGCCGCTGGTTCCCATCGTGCTCTGCGGCCGTGTGGAGCGAGGCCTTGTTCCCGCGTTGAGCCGCCGCCGCCGCCGCCTCCTCAGCTTGAAGCCTCCGCGCCAGGCCCGTCCGCGCCGCTCCATGTCGGACTACAGCACCGGAGGCCCCCCGCCAGGCCCGCCGCCGCCCGCCGGCGGAGGAGCAGGGGCCGCGGGTGCGGGAGGAGGCCCTCCGCCGGGCCCGCCGGGCGCGGGAGACCGAGGCGGCGGAGGCCCTGGCGGCGGCGGCCCGGGTGGAGGAGGCGCGTCCGGCGGCCCCTCGCAGCCCCCGGGCGGCGGCGGCCCGGGGATCCGCAAAGACGCCTTCGCCGACGCCGTGCAGCGGGCCCGCCAGGTGAGGAGGCCGCGAAGGCGCGTGCGCGCGCGGGGAAGGGGGCGGCGGCGCGCGCGGGGTCGCGGGAGGGTCACGTGGGCGGCGGGCTCGGGGCGGGGAGTCCGGGGCTGCCTCGGTAGGAGGGTGACCCTCGGCGTGCTTCGAGTTAGGGGTGCGCTCAAAGGGGGCCCCCGAGGACCAGACTCTGTGCACTGAACAACCCCTCTCATACGGCGGTTTGGAGACTTGGGGGGTCCCCGACACCCACTCCTGAGCTCTCAGAATAGGGAGGTCGCTGCCTTGGGGTTCCCAGAAGCCGTTCCTGAGTGCACTGGAGGATTCCTCTAGGACCCGCAAAGGTTGCGGGCTGGGACAGTGTCCCCAAGAGCCACCCTCGAGTTTGTTGTACTCTGCGTTTCTATTCGGGAAACAAGGGCTTGTATTCTGGGGGACCACTCCAGAATCCAGGAGGGTTTGTGGTTTGAAGAGGTCCTCCTATACGTCAAAGGCCTGTGGTTTGGCGTGGTGAGGGTGTCCCCAAGAGCCCAGTCCTGGGTTTGCAGCCGAGGACCCCTCCTAAGGAGTCATGTTAGGGAACTTGTCTTAGGACTCGTGATGGCTTGGAATCTGAGGCCGGGGAGCCATTCCTTAGTTCAGAAAGGATGAGGTCGGAGATGCTGGGAGACCCCTCTTGGAACCCATGAGAGGTTGTAATCTTAGGGTCCCCAAGAGCCACCTCAGGTTTTGCAAAAGTAGCATCCAAAGATGCTAGGGGACCACTGTTCAGGCACATGAGAGCTCAGAATCTGAGGGGGTTCCCAAGAGTGAGCACGAACTTAGAAGGTGGGGACCCATCTTAGCACATACTTGGACCCTCCCAGAAGTTCAGCACCTACCTTATAGGTAGGTGTTGCTTTACACATGTCTACCCCGTTTCCAATCAGGACAGGTCCCCCAAACCACCCATTTCCATTTCCGTCCCTTCCCTAGGAAGGGACTTGGTGAGGGGTGGGGCAAAGTCCTTCCTCCTGAGTCTGTTGGAGAGCCTGGGCCTTGGAGTGAGGTGGGGAAGGCAGACATGAGAACTTGCTTTTTACTGTCTGAATTAGTTCAGAAGAGTTGTGTCTCTTGTTTTGATGACAGCACATAGACGTGTCGTGTGCTGTTGTGGCCCCGCTCAGCTTTGCTTACAGCCCCAATCTGGTCACCTCTAAAAGTTAAGTGGCCTGGGCTCACAATGGCTGGTGGTGCCCAGGGCTTGTCCCCAGGCCTTTGGGCTAAGGACTGGCTTCTCCCAGGGTGGGAGGAACCGTTGGGTACTGCCTTGTGTTTGCCTTCCTCACTCCAAGGTGGGGTGGCTTCTAGCATGCCCCTTTTCTGGTCATCCCCTAGAGTGCCTCAATTAAGATGCAGCTTACCCTGGGGGTGGGCGCTGTCAGTTGGGGGTGACAATCCCTGTCAAGGATAAGCACACTTTTGGTTTTTACAGTGGAGTGGTCCAGATGAGTTCAGGATTTGGGGTGTGTTTGCTGGTTTGGGGGAGGGATGATGTGAAGATGCTCCCTGTGCACTTGGAACTCTGCAAAGGGGGCATTTGTTCTGGTCATATGGGGATGTCAGGTGCCTTGAAGACAGAAGCTTGGCTGAGATGTCTCAGGATGCTTTTGTAAAGATTGACAGCTGTGAGAGACAGGAGAGTTGGAAGGACCACACTGGAATCCTGTCCCCCTTGAGTTGCTGTTTCGTTTGCAGTTAGAGTAGTTTGTGAGTACATGTGCTGTCAGTAAGGAAGAACATGGAGTCTGCAGTTCTTAGGAAACTTGGGAGACTCCTAAAAACTTCCAGCGTGTCTATACCTAAACTCCTCTCAAAATCAGGTCAGCCACTCCAGGCCAAGACTGGGGTCAGACTTGAGGGTTGCTTGGTGTGGTGACTCGTCTGTACTTCTAACCCTAGATTGCAGCCAAAATCGGAGGTGATGCTGCTACTACCGTGAATAACAACACTCCTGATTTCGGTTTTGGGGGCCAAAAGAGACAGCTGGAAGATGGAGGTAACTCCTGGTGGTAGTGGTGGCTGGCTTTCACCCTGGAGGGCAGCCTGGGACTGAGAGGAGTACTTTGTCCCACTGGGGCTCGAAGACAGGGGAGTTGCCCAGTTTTTTGTTCCATCTGCCACCCTGAGGTATCAGGTAGCTGAGAGAAGGGCAGGTTAATTGTGACCAGGGAAAACTATAAGTTTTCAAGATTGCTCCTTTCCTGTGGGAGGCTGACACAGGACACAATATCGCCAAGGTTGTTCCTAAGCAGGACACTCGTCCCCTGAGTAGGTCCAGTTCTAATCTGGAAGGACCCTGTGATGTTACTAATGTTCACATGTTAAAAGTGAACTTTGGCCGGGTGGTGGTGGTGCACGCCTTTAATCCCAGCACTCGGGAGGCAGAGGCAGGCAGATCTCTGTGAGTTCGAGGCCGGGCTGGTCCGACAGCTTCTAAAACAGTACAGAGAAACCCTGTCTGGTAAAACAAAAAAAAGTGAAGTTCGTTGGGCTGGAGAGATGGCTAAGAGCACTGGCTGCTCTTCCAAAGGTCCTGAGTTCAATTCCCAGCAACCACATGGTGGCTCACAACCATCTATGAGATCTGGTGCCCTCTTCTGTCCTGCAGGCAAACACATAGGCAGAACACTGCATATTTAATAAATAAATCTTTTTAAAAAAGTGAACTTACTCTGGGGTGGTGAGTGACTTGGGAATGTTGCCCCTTTCTGGGCCAACACCTCTAACCCTCTATCTTGGCTGTCATGCGGTATGGTGGTGACTATGCCTGGAACATGCTGCACCAGCTTTGGGGTTGAGGCGGTGCGGGTGGGTGGTGTCGCATCTGACAGTCTCTCTCATCCACAGACCAGCCAGACAGCAAGAAACTGGCTTCCCAGGGAGACTGTAAGTCCAATGGTGTATGCGTGGGGGGGCATTGGGAGCATTGGGTGTCCAGCACCTGTGTGCTGAGTACCTGTGTGCAGTGGCTCAGAAGGGTTAAGGGTCCTCACGCCTAGAGAAATAGAAACAAAAGCCCTAGAGGTGGGCTTTCATGGGGAAGAGGGCACAGTGCCCTCAGGATGAGATCTAGGCACAGAGCCATGTCGTGGGTACCATCCCCCCCCAATATAAACAGGGCATCGTGGGTTGGGGTTGTGGGGCCTAGATAGGTGCTAAACCAGGCTCTGCTTTAAATTTCTCTCCCCAGCAATTGGTTCTCAACTGGGACCCATCCATCCTCCCCCCAGGTAAGCTGTTCCCTGGCCTTCTGCTGTCTCTGGTTTGGGGGCTGGCATGGAGGCACCTGTGGAGCCAGGGGGTGATGGCAGGCTGGGGATGGAGGGAGGTGTTGTGGCCATGGGAG